TCAACCCCTACCCAATGTTGTTCAGAGACAGGAGAAAACAGATATTAATGTGGTACGAGGAAACAACCGATTATGACAAGTTGTTTGCTCAAACATGGAAGCAAATTGGGTGCCTGTGGTTCCAGCCTTGCCGATCCAAGCAATCGGGTCTTGTGATAACATTTCATGAATCTAATTCTGAGGAAAGATCATCTGAAACTTTAAGTCTGCTTTATTTTCCATATTTTGTCTGACCTATTGACCATTTCCAGCATTTCTTTTTATTATGGCCATATCAGCTTTCCATAATATTTTGTCTTATTTTGCTTCTGTGCACTGGTTGAATTTTGTGGATCTGGAGTTTTGGAAGGCAGTACTATTGACTCAACACTAAATTGAAACATCAGCAACTTGAGACATAAGCTAACAGGCATACAAATTTCACATTACTCCATTGTACAGGGCATCTCCGATTTACAAATGGCCGACTTACGAACACTTGTACTTATGAACACAATCTCATACAATGCTGTAATGTCAAAGACCCAATATTGAACATTTTCTGTATTTATGAATGGCTGCTTTATATTGTTCTGCACTCTGTTCAGACTTGCATATGACTCAGCATGCGAAAGGACTCCAGAATGGAACCTATCCGCAATCCAAGAATTGCCTGCATAGCCTTTGCAGCCAATGAAGACAAAAATGTATCATTGTGATCAATATTCCTTATACCTTCGAGAAGATGAATCGTCCGACCCCTTCCTGTGTCCATGGTTCATGATAAAACTCAGCCCTTCTCTCCTCTTCTGGATTTCCAATGACATCCGTCATAATCTGGATCCAATTCAGAGCACAATGAACTTAGAAGCTTCGCATATCAAATGTCAAAATTCAACAACCACAGTGCAACTCAGTTGCAATCACATTAATTTGAATTTAAAACATTTGGTATAAGATGCAAAATTCCAGAAACAACATTCTGTTCAAAAGATACCCTCTCACTGGCAGTGCCAACAGCAATAATGGAGTTCTACTTACCTTCTGGTAGGGCTGCCCTACCTCCACAGGATCAGTCTGAATTTACTTGTGCAAGTAAATCTCCAAAAGTGTTGCAAACATTATCATAATGCCACAGATAAGAATTATGTGGAGTTACAAGTTGTTTGATTTCTTCTAATTTTGAGGAATGCGGTGTTTAATACAAGGTTACATCATGTATTAAGAATCAACTGTAATTTCACCCTTCATGATTTTGGTGGTGGTGTTTAAAATGATTAATACTTCTACTGAAACAGTGGTAAGAGAATGTCAAGCCAATACTTGCACCATTCATTTGCCAGTTTCCTACCACATAATTGCAGAGCCAATGTCTTTTGAAATGGTTTCTGTGAAAGATAATTAGGGTAATCCTTAATAGTACTTCCTTTCTGTTGGAACACTTTACACACAGTTATTTGCTGAAGGCAGCGTGTAAAAAGCCAGAACAAGACGTCACCTGTATACAACTGTAAATCAAGATCCGCCCATGTTTCCTGACCTGTTGGCCACTAGCAACTATTCAACCACGCAGGCGGGAGATTTCAAAGATAGTGTCTAACTTGTTTTTTCTTGACTCCAAGGAATTGACTTCCTGCTTTTATTGATTTGAGAGTTTTAACTAGTAAAGAAGCTGTTTTAATACTGCCCGAGTAGCTAAGTGCGTTTAGGCAGAGATAACTAACTTCTTCCTAGACATGTGTAAAAGGTGATGGGTCAGGCAGGAATATGGAGTAATCAGATCGACTATAATCTTACTAAATGGTGGAACAGGCTTGAGAGACTGAGCAGATGATTCCCCGTCACCAATTTCCCAAGTTGGTCTGCATACTTACAACGTCAGGTCAAATATGGAGATACAAACCTTCATTCAAAATGATATATGCAGTACAGGAATTTTATTTAACAGCCTAAGCTTCAGGAGATACTTAAATAATTAATAGATACGGGTTCTTTTCCCCATCAGTAATGTGTTCATGTATTTTTCACCTGTTCATGTAATTTTCTCTGCTACTGAAGTGAATCAAAGCTCCAGGAATACCTTTGAAATATAACACTATGGATACCTCCTAGATGAAAAGACATTTAATTATATAGATAAATAGAAAAGCCAGGCTCTCTGAACTAGATGGTTTACATTTAAATCACTGTAAATTTAACACAAGTAATTATTACAAAATAATCTATAAGGCATTCAGAGAGAAGACAATGAGCCCATTTTGTTGGAGAGTTTGATGTGTTGAGGGCTGAACTGCTGTTACTTAAAAATAATTTCTATCAGGAGGTCAAACCTCAATATTGTTCACCAGGCCGTTGCATTACAGGGATAGCAAAAGAACTGTTACCAACTTTAGGACCTTCAATGATTTTAGTTTAGATTATATTGATTCCCATATTTTAGACCACTATCACAGATAACTCCCATTATCCTGTATCTTTTTCACCTCGAGGGCCAGGTGTACAGTCAGTCATGTGCCCAGGAACCAATAGGAAATCCTGGTAATTCCTTTGATACTCTGGCCTTGTCCTTTGTATTTCGAAGATTGCAATAAGTCAGAACCAATGTACAGCTTCTTCTTGTGTTCTTACCTTGTAGTCTCGACATTGGGACTTTATCCAGTCTTGGATGAACTCCTGTGGGTGGTTGCTGAAGCTCAGCATAAAGTCACGTTGGATCTTCAACTGATTGATAGATTCAATTGTGTCATGAATCTAGAAAATAATATAACCACTTATTATTTTTTCAAAACACTTTCAGAATCTTCACTAACGTCAGAACAGATAATCAAACTGTAGCAAAACTGCAAAGTATAAAAGTGTGTGCGCAAGTCAGCAATTGTTACTTTTGCTCATCTCTTGCAGTGTAGTTAAGGGCAAAACATGGAAAAGGCTGTTGTGCTTCATTTAGCAGAGAATATTCAAGCCACAATTCATACTTCAGTCAACATGGTTAACATTCTTCAGCAAATGCTTTTCTGATGGCCCGAATACGGCAGTAAACTGTGTTCCATAGAATAGGTAGTTACTCTGCGTTGACCCTTATAGAGGCTCTTGGGGTGCAGTGATGGTGTCCTGACCTATGGACCAGAAGCCCTGGGTTCAAATCCCATCACCAACCAGAAGTATTTCATAATTGAGGGAGGGTCACTCGACCTGAAACATTAACTCTGATTTCTTTCCACTGATGCTGCCAGACCAGCTGAGCTTTCTCAGTAATTTTTGTTTTTGTCATGTTTGGAACCTCATTACTCACATTTTCAAAGAACAGACTGCACAGCACCACAAATTAGTGAACATCATGAAATACTATCAAGAATAACTCTGAGGTTGCTATCATAACAGTGTAGAGCTGGAGGAACACAGCAGGCCAGGCAGCATCAGAGGAGCAGGAAA